TAGAGATAGGATTTTTGGCAAAGGTCAGATAAGAAACAAGGAACTGTAGAACGTTACCCAAAACATACCATGATGTGATTATAGAGGCATGCTTATAGGATCAAATGGTATAAATATAGATGTAATAGGAGAATAAAAAGAGATCAACTGAACTCTGTCTCAGTGTCATTCCTTCTTCGCCAACTCTGTCCACACCTTTGGGAACCCCTGGACCTGCTGGGGCTGGACCCCAACAGATCAGAAGTAATGGTTGGCTGAATAAAAAAAAAAACATTTAAAGGAGCAATTAGAAAACACATGTATTTTGTTTTAGCTAATGGTATATAAATGTATATTCATTTGTGACTCTTTTTATGTAAGGTGTGAGCCCAATTATAATCCCTTTGTCTTTGTTGCAAAAAACAGACTCCAAGTGCATTAACTATTTTTATCAGTCTCTCATCTATTCCTTTTTCTTTTATTCTCTCACAGTTGTCTTGCCCATACTATTTTTATTTATTTATTTATTTATTTATTTATTTATTTATTTATTGGTTAAGGTATTACAAATGTAGAATAAAGTTTCAATGAGTTATAAGGCTTTCTGCAAACACCCATCCTCTCTTCCTTTTCACACTCACATTTCATTGGCTTATGTAATACATAAATATAGTAAAGGCAAACACATTTGCATATGCAGGTTAGCAAATAAACACACGATTTTCGTTTTCGTAAGCTTACAACTTAATTGCTGAAACTAGAAGAGTTCCAGCATGACTGAGAACAGTCCACAGTGGCCAGGGGAGCACACAACAGGAAGACAAGTGTCAGTACTGAGTAGGTTAGTTTGATGGTGGTTAAGAGCCTCAGTCATAGATGGCGAGTTAATAGGAATTAGAACAGATTTTTGCAGGTATACCCCAAACTCAGAAGTCATTAAAAAGATTGATACATTTGCTTACAAAAGTATTAAAAACGTCATCATACCACCCGAGCCCTCAAAAAGAAGTCAAAGATCACACCATAAGAAACAGGTTTTGCAGCATGACTAATTTCTTTAATTTCCAAAATCTCATAATGAATAAAACATCATACAACTTGATATAAAAATAAAGATAGCAATATGAAATTTAGAAAACAAGAAATACAAGGGGTCAGTAAATATAAAAGTCTGCTTAATCTTGTAGAAGAAATACATCAAAATAAAATGTTTCGTTTATAAGGTGAGCAAAAAAATTAAGTAGGATAGCAGTTCTAATAAGAATGCGGGGAAACATTCTCATATGCTTTGGTTGGAAGCAGAAACTGGTAGATTCTTCTCTGAGAACAATTACACAATATTTATTAAAATTTAAGTGTAGGTAGGTGTCCTATGACTTAGCAATCCCACTGCTAGAAATGTGCCCTATGCATATACTTGCAATGATTAATAACAATATTTGTATAAGAATGCTCATTGTAGTATTGCTTGTACAGTATAAACTAAAAACAAGCCAGGTGTCCATCAAGAAATTAAATTCTATGATGGAGTACAAGGCAGTGATTAAAAAGAATGAGGAAGACCTGAATATGCAGATATGGAAATATTCCCAAGATGACAAAGCAAACTGCAGAGTGTATTGTACAACCTCTCTGACATTAACAAAATGTATATGTACACACAAATGCATGCACATTCCCCCCCCTCCCCCCATAACAAAATACAAGAAATTTAACAGAGGTTGCCACTGATTTGAGGGGAACTATTCTTAGTTGTGGAGAATGTGGCTTTCAGAACTCCTTTTGGATCTTCCTTATATTGTTTATATTTTTATAATCGTGTACATAAGAACAGTCATGGCATAATCATAAATTTTTTTGTCTTTTTAATATAATTTTGATGTAAAAGTATTTAAATATTAATACTTTCTCTAAAAATTATTTCCTTTCTGATGAAAAATGGCACGCTTAACTGCACTTGGGGAAGATATGAAGCTGACTCAGGAATAGAAATAAAGTTCCTTTATTTTGATTGACAAGGTCTTACATTAGGAATACCAGAGTAGAGGGGCTGGTGCTAGATCATCAGACATTCTTCTAAATGTCTCCTATTCCTACACACCCTCTCCCTCCCCCAACACAGCCACTATGTGAGCCTGTAGTTCTAGAAATGTAGCACTTAGCATTCTCCTAGTCCCTTCCGATCACCCATTAAATGAACATAACCATTGTCAGAGAAGCCCAACAACAAAAATTCCCATAAAATAATCTTCAATACTCCTATACTTTAAATAAAGCACATCTTTATTTAGCAATTGAATAATTAAAAGTCACAGCTAGAGTTTTTTCACGTTTGTACCTGGACAACTATTTCTCAATCAAATGAATATGGCCAACAAAATACATGTCATAGCATTTTATATAATGTAAGTCACTCTTAGGACTAAAACAGTTTTAATGCATTTTTATCCTGTTTGCTGCTAGTATTCTAGATACTTTTACATGAATTAACAGTAGGGATTATAATTCCATTGATATTAAGACAAATAACTACACAGGCCTTTCAAGCATACAGTAAATTACATGACACACAGTGATTTCAAATTACCCAGTGTTGACCAAATTCAAGCTTACACATTTGAAAAAAACCCTAAGCTTCTTTGCCTCTTAATTAGGGAACAAACCCTATTGATGGAGATATATTTTTGTAAAGTGGGAGAGGAGTTAGTTTAAAAAATTAGGGAGATAATTCCATTGCTACAAGTTCAGTACAATGAAATGTGAAATGGCAGCAGAAATGCAAAACTATATTTTAATTAGTAAATAAACTAGACTTTTAAGTAAGTGACTTTTTGCCCTTTATATTTACATATAGCACCTGTTACAAGAAAAAAATTCCAAATTAAAACATCCTCTACATAGAATTATAAACATCACCAATGAATATATAGTAAACTATTTGTCATAAAGTTAAGCCTACACTGTAGAAAATAAAGACTAGCTTTTCTTATTTGAAAAGATTACAACAATGGATTATAAATGCAATGTCATGATGCTGTAGAAACAGTGAATTGGGCAGTTTTAATTTCTTAAGCACATATATTCTAATGATAGAAAATGAAAAGAGCTTAATGTAAACCGTTTTTATTCTCTTAAATCTTGCCCCTTGACATGTATCTGAAGTGTCAGGTTTTTACCCTTTCAACTTATTTGTGGTGCAGTATTGACATAACCCCTAAGCACAACACAAACCTAAACAAATGGATTTCCAAGTATTTATGTAATGTACAAAAGTACAAAGCGGAAATGGTTATCGTAAACCGAACTTGGCTGAAGCTAGCGGCGAGAACTCGGCGTCCAGCAACATAGTCAACTGGGCAGCCTCTATTGTACTAAATAAATTACAGAAAAGTGGAAAAGCTAAATATCACACAGTTACCTTTCAAACATCAAATGATCAAGAGATCATTAAAAAAGAGAGATCATTGTAAAGCATTTAAACTTGGGTATAATCCAATGACCTCTACATACTAACCCATTACATCTTTTTCATATTTACAAGACTCCTAGGATATTTTTAAATGTATAAATTAAGTCAGTAGTAAGCATGAAATAAAGTGCTACTATTTGAAATTCAAGGAATCAATTTCAGCATTAAAATCTGGCCTACTCTACAGAATACAAGAAAACATGAAAAATCTTGCCACCGCACTAAAGATGGGAAAAGGTGGGGGCAAGAGAATCCCAGAATTGGGTTGAAATTTTCTTGCCCAGAAAGGCAAATAATTGGAACACTACAATTCAAAGTAAAAACTAAAAGCTTCTTTTAAAGTATAAGGTAAAATGGGCTCAACTGTGACTACAGTGGATTTGGGAAACCACAAATCAGTACCTATCTGGGTCTAAGATTGCAAGCAGGGGTGAGCCCCTTTGATGGCTTTATGGTGACAATTTCACTTAGCAATGTGGCATTTTAAGGTTATCACAAATAATCCTTCTAAATTTGGAAACTCCCAGGGTTAAGGGGCCCTGAGACTAATCTTTTAAGAACTGTTCACAAAAGTTAATGAGGGAAGAGATCACCTCACAGTTGCTCAGGGTACTTCACAAAGACTCAACTGTATAAGGGAAAGTAATGATTTTTTACAAGTCGGAGGGTGGAAGCAAGGTGTCAATAGAATGCGTCAAGGTAGTAAGTAACAAATAGTAAATACTACCCTTTAAAGAAATTGTTGAATAAATCAATCATACCTAAAGATGTTGGCTTAAAATACCGGGGGAGAGGGAGGGTTTGGTTGTATTTTGCTCAGTTGACTTAATAAACCCTTAAACATACAAGACAAGTCAGAGTTGGGCTTATCTGTCTGATACTGAGAATGAAAAGGCAAAACTCTTTGTCAGGGGCCTCTGCACACGTTTACCGTGCTAAATCTTAGGCATGGTTTCCTGGCTTCATCAAAGTCACACTCTCACAATGATGTCCTCATTTGTGGCTGCAGTAGTGACAAAGCCTGAGAACTTTCCTTCATGGTAAACATGTCAGCACAATGTTTTCCGTCACACAAAAAGAACCTTCCACACTAGAAAAATCTAGAATTCAGTTGTATTACATTTAAAAACAGTATGCAAACATTTTCTTGAAAGTTCCTATTCTAGAGCTAAAACAAAGCAAAATGAAAAAGAATGTACATTAATTTGAAATATGCCTCAACAATGACTGCTCTTATTTTACTAATCTTCACCCGAGGATATTTTTCCATTGATTTTTAGGGAGAGTGGAAGAGAGAGGGAAAGACAGAGAGAAACATCGATGTAAGAGAAACACATCGATGGGCTGCCTTCTGCAGGAGCCCTTGACCAGGGCCAGGGTTCGGGGAGGAGCCTGGACCGGAATCAAACCCGGGAACTTTTGGTCCTCAGGCCAACACTCTATCCACTGAGCCAAACTGGCTAGGGCAATGATTGCTCTTCTTTCTAATGAAATTACATTTTCTTCTAAGATTGCATTTTCTATAATGAAGTGGAATACACGCTTCCTTTCCTTTTTAATCTCACTGACTTTTTTTTTTAAACCAAAGAGTATCCCCATAATTAAGTCATAATTCTCATAACATTGAAAGATACATTCATTTTCTTTACAGCATGAAAGACAAATATCAATTTTTCCTTTTTAAACAATGAAGTAAAAGAAGTTTCAATCTTTTGCCCATAGAAAAATATTTTCTATATCATTTACACCACAAGAGAAAAATTCAACAGTATTTAACTAAAACTTCTATGAGCACAACAAGGTTTTAAAACGTTTTCATTCCTGTATTTGAAATTTTGAAATGTTTCAGGAAGTTAAACATTAGGATTTCTTCCTAAAATTGTAGCTTTTAACTTGAACTATTACTAATACCTTTCACTTTGTAAATTTAAAAAAGATCAGTTTACTTATTTATGCAATGAACCATGTCTAGCCAGTGTTGATGAATTGCACCCCAGTAGATACTACTTCTGGCTGCCCATTTAGCTTGCATTACTAAAATGAAAACAATGAATATTAAACTTTAGAAATCAACAGGAAACTGCCGTAGAAAACATACAAATAAATAGCAGCAAATTTAGATAGGAAACAGGAATAAAATTGGTATTTTCACCAAGATTTTGGAAATAAAATGTCTAATTTCTGACTGAAATAGGGCTTGTTTTTGATAACATTGAAAGGCTTATTGCTACTAAGAATGAAATCTGTATACAATAAAAAATTGTGTTGATGATAGTTGTAGACATTGTAAAGAAAGTTGAATCCCCCAAATTCAATTTAGAGATTCATTTCATGGGCTCTTTATAAAATTGCTGAAATTATCTATTAGCAGTTAGTCCTAAAATGTTTTATTATGTAAATGTGTTTCTACATAACTCTCAAAGAATTTCACAAAATGGTTGCTACAACTTGTGTTGTGATCACACTGAGGCACCAATATCAGTAATTCTGATATTTGATTCAATTAATCCAGTGGATTTCAATTAACATAGCTCTTTTACTTGGAGGAAACAACACACACACACACACATGCTGCAAGAGCAGTGGTGGGATAGTTGAAGCAAACGTGGCGAGTAAGCAGTCCTAATAGAGTCACTTTGTTGATGTGGCAATTACATAAAAGCAAACTGTGGCATAATTTATCTTGGTCTTGTCATGTTATTAAGAGATGTTTATTCCAACAAATATTTACCATAATGTGTAACTCTAAGGGACTTAAATGAAAATTCACCTGAACTACAAAATAATTACAACAAAATAAAAGAGATGTAAACATACCTCACATTACTGTGGTATAAATAATTTTTATGAATTCAAACCTACTTTGGCAACCTTACCGTCAGAATATTTTAAACATTCAAAACACAGATATTAAATAGAACACTGTTAAAAATTCTTGTTTCCTTCTTCTCCCTTCCTGATAAGATTATAAAACAAGTAATGCTACTACATGTTCACATAAATTATTTGATTGCAAGTAGACATATATTCTAAATCTTAGTTTTATGTTTTAAGTGCTTTTAAAAATTAGCCTTCTAATTTGCATTTTAGAATGTTTTTGCACCGCACATATACAGCTTAAATACCTTACAAAAGCTTATGATCTGTCAAGGAAGCATGGCTAGCAAACTGGATCAGGTCCCACTGAGGATCACTTTGAAAAGTCTACTTATTTTCTAAACTAAGTGACATCATAGTGAAACCACTGCCTGAATAGAATTCTTGCGCTGAAACCCTAAAATTCATGAGAATTTATGATAATCACACATGTTGCCTAAAATAACAGAGTGAAATTAGATAAAAGTCTTTCAGGTTCCTTTTAGCTCTAATGTTGTACATGGTACTGCCTGTGGAAACAGGAGGCTTTTGCTCAAATACCTGATTAGATCTGATCAGATCTGCCAACAAATTATCAACAACTATATAGTTAAAATAATCCTTTACCTCTCTTAGAGCATTAGCTTTTGTGAAACACACAAAAGTATCTTATGTGTAATATTAGTACTTGAAACCTTCAAGCAATTGTCTTAATGACTTAACATACCTTTATACATTTGAAGCCAGTTTTTATATATCAGTATACATTTTCTCTTTACTCTTCAAAATGACCAACCCTTTCCCCATCTCCTACTTTCACTAGGAGGCCACGCAAAGGAAATAAAAATAGATGCTGTTACTCTGCGTCTATTTTGAATGAGTGCATTGGCTTAACAAATACTACCAATTCTTTTTGTGAATGTAAAGTCTATTCCAAAATATTTCTCATCCTGTGTACAGAGTGCTGACACAAATCAGATGCTCAAACATACATTTGAAATGAACATCGTAAAACCATCATATAAATCAGAGAGGTTCGCCAATAACTATTTCCATTTGTGAGAGTAACAGTCAACGTTGATTAATTGGGGGGGTGGGGAGTGGAAGGGGAGAGTAGTTTAGATATAAGTAATCTGGCATTTTTATCACTTGATGTTACATGATATGAGTGAAATCTAGACCTACTTGGTGTACCAAAGCTAGGATGATTCTAGAACCCTACATAGATCAATAAACAGGTTAAAAAATTCTTAGGTGTAATGGATAATGTCTTATCTGTTGAGTGAACAGGGAAGCATAATTAGCATATTTTTAAATTTAAGACCCCAATAAATATGCCTTTAAAGAAGAATTTTTTTGTACATAACAATACTGACCGAGAACACCTCTCAGATGAACACTTGATATATGTGGGATTTACAGACTGGCCTTAACGGTTAAAAAAGGCAGCAGTGCTCACTGCCAACAATTATTAGTTAATCTCAGAAGTGTAAACATTAAGCCCTAAAGAACATGCCAACCATGTCACTTATCTGTTTATCTCTATACAACTGTATCTTTTGTTTTTAAATCTGTGGTTGTCATATTCTATCCACATAGAACAGACCAATTTTCTTTTTAATTCATGTGAAAAACTTCCCAGTTTTTAATTATGTAGACCTGAACATGATTTCACTTTTCAACTGATCATCAATCATGTCATAGAGCAGCCTATATTACATTTATCTGTTGGCAGAGAATGGAATGTTCAAATAAAACTACAGCTTATTTACTCTAATACTGTCTTGATTATGAAATTCAGAAATAGATAAGAGAATTTCTCTTAGACATACTGGTTATGTTTACTATTCTTTTTAGAAAACTTAAAATATTTTAATAATAATTTATTTGGTATCTTGGCTATTAATGATTAGGACTTAACTTCCTAAAATTGATTATTATGGATTTTGACTATCTGAAAGAACATCATTTAGATTATACTGAAGATTTTAAAATATACATTTCCCTCCTCATACTAAATGGCATTCCAAAATATCCACCATTCAACTCTAAATTTTATCAATACTATTCTGAAATATTCAGAAAACACCAGTAAAAGTAAATTTCAACAATAATCCATATAAAATAATTGTGTAATTATAACATTTCAATAGGTGAGCAAATTTCCACTTATATTAAAGCAGGGCAATTTTAAAGTTCTATCTCCCTGTAGACTTAAAAATTAAAATAAAAAAACCTGAACAGGAAATTATCCAAGTCCTTAAAGGGCATCAGATCCTCCATCAGGCAGGACAGCCAACAGTCTCCATGAAGTAACATGCTTATAACCTCGTAAGTACATGTAAATTAGAGTAACTTAACGGTATACAAAAATGACCAGAAAAACCCTCATTTCAGTTATTGAGGGATTTCATTTCATTTCAGTTACTGAGGGATTATACTTTGAAATAAGTCAACAATGTTTCATTCCTTGTTTGAAGTATCCTGACTATTAGACTAGTGTGAACAAAATGTGGTATGAACTGAAATGAATGCTGAAGAGTAATAATTCCATTAGTAATAGAAATAAGCCACAACTAAACTGGTCTAACTCTAGCTTAGAGTATCAATATGTTTAACTTTAATGTGCATATTAGATGCCATTTGTAAAGCAAGGGATAAAATAAATATAAATTTGAAGACTAAAGCATCTTTTAACTTGAGCTGCTAAACTGTAACCCTGTCTTTCAGGAAAGGAATGTGCAGATTTAAACAATTCCATAGCAGCAGAGCTCTCACTCAGAAGAACACTAATTACCTTTGCTTCCTGTGACAAAATACAGGGTCTGAGTAAGAAACAGAATTTTCTTACCCTTCTTTGACTGCATAACTCTCAATACAAGAAGTTATTTGCAAATGTGAACTGATTAAAAATGCATAAAAATGTAAGTGTACAGTATACATACATACCTACTAGTGGGTCAAATGAGTGCCTATTCATTAGACATACACAGATGTCTCAAGGCACTTACGGGGTTAAGACATAATACATGCATTCCTTTATATCAAGTACATGAAATCACATGATTTGGAATAAGCCAACCTTAAGGTAAATATGTTACATTATTAAATTCAAGAAAATCTGTAGATTCATATTTATACTTTCTGTAAGATGCTGGTAAATGGACAATGTGCAGCATTTCCTGGGAAAAGCAATTCCACCTTTCTTCTTATGAACAGCAGGTCTCTACAGGGGGAGTGTAGGGAAAGATGTGCTGCATCCATAGGCAGTGTATTGGCTAATATTGAAAATGATATTGCTAAAATTTAAAAAATAAAATCTGGTAATCAAGTAATATAGTAAGTACATGAATCACTGCAAACACCAGAGCTGACTCCTGATGTTTACTTCTTTTTGCTTTCAAAGTACAGGTGTAACAGAGATGATGAGAATTCTGAGCCTTGTCTGTGGCAATTCTTCTGGTAGGGGACTGCATGGCACCACTACAAAATTTCATAAGTTACCCTGAACATACTCAGTTATTCACTATTTGTTCGAAACAAAGCATGAAATAGTCTTTAAACACATGAATTATAGGTTTTGAGAATGACTTTTTTTTAAACATAAAGTGCAACAGTGCTGAAGTTTTCAGTTTTTGTCAGTTCTTCATTTTTTGTTTAGATGCCATTTCCTGCAAGCAGTATTATGGCACAGTGAATATAATTGGAAAGCAGTTTTCTAACACATATTCCAGATTTTTTGCTTTCTTATTTATTTGATGATGTCGTTAAGGGTCTAACAAATCCTTCTTCATAAACTTTCAAAATAGCTTCACATACAAATCTGTATTGACTCTGAAAAATAAAATATGAAAAATAGAATTGATCAGAAAAACTGGAAAATAAAACAAAGAAATGACAAACAAGTCACTTGACTTGCTTATAAAAAAAATACAAAGTAAAACAGCACAGGGATACCATTCTTCATGAACAGACTAACAAAAAATAACAGTCAGACAACATATTTTGTTGGCAAACTCCCTCATGCATTGCTAATATTCCTAGCATTGCCACAATCTCTATGGATGGCAATTTGGCAGCATCTAACAAAATTACATTAATTTATCTATTGACCCAGCAATCCTACTTTTAGGAATCTATCAAAGATAAATTAGAAAAAGATATTTAAAACATATATTCATAAGTGAGGCTAATATATTATTTATAATAATTAAAAAGTAAAAGCGATCCACTTGCCATCAGGAAAGGGCCTGGTGAGTAATCTGTGGCACATCCTCACAGTGGATACGATGTAGTGGGGGAGGAAGAAAAGTCTAAAGATTACTATAGAATGATTCCAGGATATGTTAAGTAAAAACAGCAAGGTAGAGAAAACGGCATATAATATGTTATTTTTATAAAAGAAAGGAGGATATAAAGATCTCTCAATATACGGGGTGGGGCAAAAGTAGGTTTACAGTTGTGAGTACACAAAACACAGGGTTTATTCTTGTATTATAAAAGCAAGGGAAGGATATATTATTAAAAAAATGATTTCCTATAAAAGGAAGAAAAAAATAAGGTGCAGGAGAAGGCTAGAGACTAGACTTCATTGAATACACTTCCTTCTTTTACAGATTTTACTTTGGAACCATATAAATATACCCCATAATTAAACCAATTAAAAAAAATCTACAAATTGAAAATAACATGAACAAATCAATGTGTATATCTAGTTGATGGCAGAACTAAACAGAAAGAAGCTATATCAAGGGACTTTGAAACAGTAATTTGTCTGTATATCTTTTGTAGAATATATCCGAAAAGCACTGTAGAAAAAAATTTGTTATGTTCAGTAACCATACTGTCGGTGGTAGTTGTGTTAGTTTAGTTGTTCTGAGACTGTTCTTGTATAATCAACTTAAAACAAATGGGTATTTGTGATATTTTAAGTCTTTCATCGCTGGTTTTGTAGAGAACCAACATTTTTGTTAAAGAAGAAAGGTGGTAAAGATGTAAGGTAGAAGACATTAAGTAAAAATACTGTGCTCCTGAATTTGTATTGGGAACACCAGTATTAATTCATAAGTTTGTTTTCCTACTTCTGGCTATTGAAGATTTCTACAGACAAATACCAACACTAACCCAAAAGCAACAGGAAACCTTAGTGCTCACAGGTGCTCCCTAATATAATTTCTCAATAAAAAGAACCAGTACTTTTTGGAGAAATTACAGATTCTAAGTTTGGGGCAGAAAGTGTACAAAGCTGGAGCCTAGTTATCTTTATTGATGACTAGAGGCCCGGTGCACAGGTGGGATCCCTCAGCCTGGCCTGCAGGGATCAGGCTGAAACCGACTCTCCGACATCCCCCACGGGGTCCTGGATTGTGAGGGTGGTTCTCGGGTGACACAGTCTGCAATTGGGCTCCCTCCTCTCTGGTTCCAGGTGCGTCACCTGAGAACCGCAGCTCCTGCGTTGAGCGCCTGCCCCCTGGTGGTTAGTGCATGTCATAACTACTGGTTGGAGCATCTGTCCCCTGGTGGTCATTGCATGTCATAACTACCGGTTGGACGGTCGTTTAGGCTTTTATATCCTATACTAGAGGCCCGGTGCACAAAAATTTGTGCACTCGGGGGGGAGGGAGGGGTCCCTCAGCCCGGCCTGTGCCCTCTCGCAGTCTGGGACCCCTCGGGGGATGACCACCTGCTGGGTTAGGCCTGCTCCCTGGGGGATTGGGCCTAAGCTGGCAATAAGACATCTCTGTGGCAGCCCGGCAGCCCTCGGGGGATGTCCACTTGCCAGCGGGGAGCAGACCTAAGCTGCAGTCAGACATCCTTAGCGCTGCTGAGGAGGCAGGAGAGGCTCCCACCACCACCGCTGTACTGGCAGCCATCAGCCTGGCTTGTGGCTGAGCAGAGGTCCCCCATGTGGGAGTGCACTGACCACCAGAGGGCAGCTCCTGCATTGAGCGTCTGCCCCCTGGTGGTCAGTGTGTGTCATAGTGACCAGTCATTCCCAGTCTTTCTGCTGTTAGGGTCAGTTTGCATATTACCCTTTTACTATATAGGATAGAGGCCTGGTGCACGGGTGGGGGCCGGCTGGTTTGCCCTGAAGGGTGTCCCGGATCAGGGTGGGGGTCCCGCTTGGGTGCCTGGCCAGCCTGGGTGAGGGGCTGATGGCTGTTTGCAGCTGGTCACACCCCCTTCAGTGTGGGGGTCCCCACTGGGGTGCCTGGCCAGCCTGGATGAGGGGCTGATGGCTGTTTTCAGGCTGGCCACACCCCCTTCAGAGTGGGGGTCCTCACAGGGGTGCCTGGCCAGTCTGGGTGAGGGGCTGAGGGCTGTTTTCAGGCTGGCCTGCGACTGAAGCTCCCAGCCTCTCCTTTTTTTCTTTTTTTTAATTCTGGGATTTATTTACCTTCTATAATTGAAACTCTGTTGCCGTCACTGGCGCTCCCAGCTCTGAGGCCGAGGCTGGCTGAAAGCAGGTATCTGGGGTTTGTTTGGCTTCTATAATTGAAACTTTGTTGCTGTCCTGCTCGCTCCAGCTCTGAGGCTGCGACTGACTGAAAGCAGGTATCTGGGGTTTGTTTAGCTTCTATAATTGAAACTTTGTTGCTTTTGGAGCTGTTGCTTTCGGAGCTCAGAGTAGGCCACGGCAGGCGGGGAACCTTGGCTTCCTCCATCACTGGAGCAAGCAAACCTCCTGCTCACTTCAGCTGCGTGGCTGCCGGCCGCCATCTTGGTTGGCAGTTAATTTGCATTACTCGCTGATTAGCCAATGGGAAGCGTAGTGGAGGTACGGTTAATTACCCTTTTTGTCTTTTATTAGATAGGATAATAAAACGGTAATATGCAAATTGACCCCAAGGGCGGAACTACCAGGAATGACTGGTTGCTATGATGTGCACTGACCACCAGGGGGCAGACGCTCAATGCAAGAGCTGCCCCCTGGTGGTCAGTGCGCTTCCACAGGGTGAGCTCTGCTCAGCCATAAGCTGGGCTGAAGGCTGCGAGTGCAGCGGGTGGAGGGAGCCTCTCCCACCTCCTCGGCAGTGCTAAGGATGTCCGACTGTGGTTTAGTCCCGCTCCCTTGGGGGAGCGGGACTAAGCCACAGTCGGACATCCTCCGAGGGGTCCTGGACTGTGAGAGGATGCCAGCTGGGCTGAGGGACCCTCCTGAGTGCACGAATTTTCATGCACCGGGCCTCTAGTATATAGATAAGGAAGCTATCTAAGTTACTAGGGTCTTGACAGAAAGGCCCAGCAGCCAAGCTGAATAGGGTTCTGCTCCCACTGGCCCCAAATGGAACAATTTAGGCATTGTTAAGAAAAATAACTACAATGGATTGAAACATCACATATGTACAGATCCATGATTTAAAAATAATGCCAAAACAGACAAAGTAAGTGGTAACCACTGGGAGAGGGAAGTGAACCAACTAATTATATTAAAAACTTTACAAATAAAGGGAAAGCATCAAGTATTTATCTTGCCTTTCCTATATAGATAGTACCACTGGTTAACCCAATAGCTGATGACAAGTTCCTCCTTAAAAAAGGATTCCAGCCATTAATAAGTAAGGAAGAACAGAATGCTATCATTTAGAAAGCCCAATGAATGCTGCTAACATCACACAAAAAAACCACAGACATTATGGGCCTCTTATAGGAAGAACACAATACCATCTAAGCTGTTCAAGCATATAGATACAGTTACCACTTCTAGAAAATGCAGTGAAACCTCGAAAAAACAGACTAATTCGGGCGAGGGAGTGTCCGTTAAAGCTGAAAGTCTGTTATATGATAAAGTATGTTTTCTGAATGTGTATGTTAAAAATTTGACAAATTAGTTAACCTGTTTTTACTTACGTAGACATGTTTGTGCAATTAAAAATAAGTGTGTATGAAAAGTTTAATTTCACAGAAGTTTTCTATATGTATTTCTATATTACAGTAATTGTTAAATTTATACCGAATAGGTCTATAAGTGCGTGCATGTACCAATCACCTTGAGTAAACAAATGACCACATCTAGAGTGTAGCTTAGTGTATGTGGGAACATGGGGGCATAAATTAAAACTGCTGCAGAAGCCCTGGCTGGTTTTGCTCAGTGGATAGAGCGTCAGCCTGCAGAGTGAAGGAACCCGGGTTTGATTAGAGTCAAGGCACATACCTTGGCTGCAGGCTCAGTCCCTGGCCCTGGTCAGAGCTTGTGTGGCAGGCAACCAATCAATGTGTCTCTCTCACATTGATGTTTCTGTGTGTTTCTCTCCCTCCCTTCCATTCTCTCTAAAAATCAATGGAAAAATATCCTTGGGTGAGGATTAACAAAAAACTAAAACACAAAAACAAACAAAAACTGCTGCAGAATGTCCAATGACAACATAACCAATTACCATGAGCAATGTGGTGTGATCACATGCTAATGACTCGCTGAACATTGTTCATGAGCAGTGACTCTTAGATTTAAATATGTAGACTACAGTTGTAGATATGTAATATTTACTTATGTTAGTGACATTACTAGTGCTTTTTCCAACATATGGTTTATTAACTAAAATTTGTAAAAACAGTGAATTACTAACAAAAAACTTGTTAATTATAAGCAAATCTTGGTTAAAAGCATTTTAAAATTAATAGGATGTTAATTTTCACATATGACATATGGCATATGACATATGACATATGGACTGGAAATTTTGTCTGTTAAATCTGAGGTCTGTTAAACTGAGGTCTGCAAATGAGGGTTTACTGTGGGAAACTATGTAGCACAAACCACCTGACTTGGTCATCAAATAAATGGTGAGAAACAAGAAAAAAGATGTTTGTGGAAGCTATACATTAAACGATTTTGGAGACATATAAACTAATCAAAATGTGTGAACCACATCTGAAACCTGATTTTACATATAATGCAAAAACAAAACTCATTAAGTATGGTATGATCCAGCAATTTGACTTCCATGCATATATTAAAAAAAATTGAAAGCAGGGTCTCAAAGAGATATGCATATACATCCATGTGCATAACAGCATTATTTGCAATCACCAAGAGGTGGAAACAACCCAAATGTCCATTGACAGGTCAGAGAATAAACAAAATGTGGTCTATACACACAATGAAGTATTTTTAGCCTTAAAAGAAAGGAAATTCTGACACATGCTAAAACCTGGATGAACCTTAAAGATATTATGCTAAGTGAAATAAGCCAATTACAAAAAGATAAAGCCTGTATGATTGTACGTATATGAGGTATCTAGAAAGTCAAATCATAAAAACAGAAAGTAAAATGGTGGTTACCAGGAACTGGGAGGAGAGGGGATGACAAGTTGTTGTTTAAGGGGTAGAGTTTTAGTTTGCAAGATGAAAAATTTTAGAGATTGGCTATAATTGTGTGAATATACTTAAGGCTACTGAACTGTACACTTAAAAATTGTTGTTTTATGTTGTGTACTTTACCACAATTAAAAATAAAAAAAATCCATTATGTGTGAATATAGATACAAAAACCTCTAGAAAATACTAGCAAAACAAATGAATCAACATATTAAAAGAATTATACACTATCTTCAAGTAAGATTTACCCCAGAAATGAAAGGTTAGTTTAATATCCAAAAATCAATCAACGTAATAGACAGTAATAAAATGAAATACAAAATCCACATGATCATCTCAATAGACCCAGAAAAAGCATTTGACAAAATTGAATACCTTTTCATGATGAAATACTCAATGGTCTTGTAACAGAGGAAACTTTGTCAACTTGCTAAAGGGCATTTTCATAAACCCTTTATATATTATGCTAATTAAAAGAAGCCAATTACAAAGACCAAACTATATGATTCCTTCATATGAAAGGTCCAGAATAGTAAACTTATAGAGACAAAGTAGATGAGTGGGTGCCTAGGGCTGGGCCAGGGGAGATTGGGGAAGGTATGAAGGAAGATAGGTATAAAGTTTCTTTTTGGGGTGATGAAACATTCTAAAATCAGATAGTAATGAAGGTTGTAAAACTGTGATATACTAAAAACAATTGAAGTGTAAACTTTAAAAGGGTGAATTTTATGGTATGTGAATTACATTTCAATACAGTTAATTCTAAAATTTAAAAATTATTAACTATATGAGACAACTGGAAGTTTGAATACTGTTATTTGATAATATTAAGGAATTACTTGTTATTATACTTGGATGTGATACTGGTATTGTGATTTTGTTTAGAAGGAAAAATACTTCTTATCTATTTGGGATACATATTAAAATATTTATAGACAAAATTATATGACGTCTAGATTTGCTTCAAATATGGAGAGTAGGTGGCAGTATAGATTAAACAATATGGCAAATGTTGCTGGACCTGAGTACTCAACATACTAGTAGTGTTAATTATATTGTCTACTTGTGTATATTGGAAATTTTTTATAATTTAAAGGTAAAAAAAGGCACTTACTAGGTCATATATGTCAATTCACTTCAGTAAGTTTAATGCTAACATTCCACAATGGCTTACTATAAAAAGTTATCTTAACATTAACTCTAAAACTCCATGATTCCCCTGTGATCTTGAAACATTATTCAGAGTCAGTGTGGAATTTCTATGATTTTTCTTGTTGCAATTTAAGTTCTTATATAAAAGAGAAAGGCATTTTGCCACAGCTGTGTCACAGAGCAGGTCTATCAAGAGTCTCTAAGTCAGGGACACTCTCATTCTCAGCATTCCCCCTGACTAAGTAATACAGGGCAAGTTCCTCTGAGCCTGTCTAAACACTCAAAAATTATCATCTAGAGTGGCGTTGACAAACATTTTCTGTAAAAGACCAGACAGTAAATATTTTAGGTTTTTCAGAACATATGGTGTCCGTAGCAATTTCTCAACTTTGCTATTATAGTGTGAAAGCAGGCATAAGTAATATATAAACAAATGAGCATGGCTGTATTCCAATAAAACTCTATTTACAAAAACAAGTGGAAGGCCAGACTTGGCTCACAGGCAGTATTTGACAAACTCCTTTGTTAGAAGTTATTAGCTCCTGGCAGGATATTAAAAAGCTATGAATATGGTTTAGAATATACACTGTTAACAAAAATCATCATGTTGAGAATGCATGAAGTACAGTACTTACAGGTGTCTGGATCATCATGGCTCGTTGATCTCTCATTGTTCTTACAATGTCTAGTGGATAAACTGGTTGGTTGCATTCAATGAGACACATGGCTGTTTCCATAGTAATCAAAACCCCAGTTCTTCCAATCCCAGCACTGAAAAAGGCAAATATGGGGCAAGGTATTACTGATACTATTCTGTTAAATTTCGTGGATTTTGTGCAGAAAATTAAAGTTTCGAATCATAAAACAGAACAATTTGATTTAATGTTTATAAGTACTGCGCACTAACCGATTGCGCCACTGGAGCTCCTGATTTAATGTTTAATATTATGAAAGTAGCAAGCCAACTAGAAATATTTTCAAAATTGACAAAAATCTCACACAATACAGATTAAAATGGTTTATATCAACACTATCCCCCATAATTAGCTGTAAAAAATACTATTTTAAAAGTTACATTTCAGTTTTTAAAATATGAACAAGATATAATAGCTTATTGGAGCAACTCAACTTTACAATGAAAAATAATAGAGGAAGGGATCCAAGATGGCAATGGAGTAAGTAGAAGATACACCCAGGACCTAATTGGAAGTAGAACTAAAATACAGAATTATAACCTGAGTCACCAACTGAAGACTAGCTGAATAGAAGGCTTATAACCAAAGATTTACAGAAGAAGCCAATGGAGACTGGTAGGAAGTGCAGTGTGTGTGGAGGTGTGAAAGGGCTGGCCCCAATCCCACAGGCAGTGGCTGAGGTTCTGGAGGAATATCTCAGCTGCAGGATGTTTCCCCTGATAAGTGTGGGATCTCAAGTCCAACCCTGGCTCCCCAGCCCAAAGCACCAGAGCCTGGAAGAGGCACACACATAACATCTGGTTGTGAGTGGCAGCGGGATTTCTGTTTCCACCAGGGAGAGATGGAGTCCATGGAGTCCCCTAAAAACTCAGGAGCTGTCTTAAAGGGCCAACATGCATAATTTTGTTTATAGCCACTCACTCTAGCTCTGGCCACTCACCTAGGGAGAGAAAAACAGATGAGTCATGTGAGGAGAGACTGGGGTTTGTGGCTCTGGGGACAGAGCTGAGGGAACAATTGCTAGGACCCCTTGTGCTAAGTCACTGTACTGCATGCAGACGCCATCTTTCTTGGGTGGAACATGCCTCTCCATGCAGCATCAGCTTGGGGAAAGCAACTGCCCCACCCTCTGGTCTTCCTGTTGAACCACCCTACGGAGCTTCTGCTCTGCTAAGGATTCAATGGCTTGGGCCATGAGAGGTCTGGCCAATTCAAGGGATGTCAGTGATTGAGTTGTATGACTTAGGGGTGGGGGCCATTCCCTCCCCCCTTTCCTGTGATCCTGACCAGCACCTTCCCCTCACGGTAGATCCTCTAGCCCCACTCTCTAAGCTCCTGGAGTTCCCATCCTCTTGACTCTTGGTGGTCCCAGTCTGCTGAGGTCTGGGCAGAATCCAGGACAGAATTGTGTGGCTCTGGGGTAGGGGCCAAACCCTCCAACTTCCCCCAAACCTGAACAGCATCCCCCCATCTCTTGACTCCCAGTGGCCCCTTCCTGCTGAGATCAGGCTCCTGGCAGAATCTGGGGCAGACTGAGTTGCAATGGCTCTAGGAAAGAGGAAAATTTCCCCTCATATACTCGACTGGTGCACACCTTCCCTTCACACAGCCAGCTTCAGACAACACCAGAGCAGGATTCAATTAGCTTCATAAGTAGCATATCCAAAGGTAGGTCTTGGCAGGCAGCAAACCCTGCTGAGGTGAACTCTACTTCATGTGGTCAGCACCTGCCAGCAGCCCATACACTGTGGTTAGGGTTGATCTTCACAGTCAGCCTGAGGGTTGATCCCACACATGAATGGGCCAATAGCAATCAAAAATCAATTACAACAGGAGGACTTATCCTGTGATGGTATTGGGTAGGTAGGGCCATTCCAAGAGAGGTGAGAGAGCTCAGCAAATGTGCTGAGGGGGGCCATAGGCCAGCAAGGAGTACCTTGCTGGGAGGGGGAAAACTAAATCTAATGCCTACATTATTGTATTTCATCAAGTCTAAGATACCATCAATCGTATAATAAATCCCATTTTCAGAGATGTTTAACTGTAAAAATGACAAGCTTCTAACAGTCAGTGCAATAAAGTATTTTTACTTCTTATTATAAACTTTCTGCCAATCATATTGGAACATACCCTTTGCTTTCTACCTTCAGAGCACACTTTTGAGTTCCTTCTAATTATAGTAAAAGTTACAACTTAAGGACAAAATAAAATACATACTCCCCTTTAAAAATGTCAGCTATTCAAGCATAGAAGACAGAAAATAGAATACCTGCAATGAACAACAACAGGTTCTTCCTTGCCGGCCCTCTTATTTCGTACGTGACAAACAAAATCCAGAAAGTCACTGGAATCATCAGGGACACCATGGTCAGGCCAGGCTGTGTACTGGATCTGAGTGAGTTGACGACTCTCATTTTTCTAAGTGTAAAAGAAAAATTATGCACTTTGATTTAGGAATTATCTTTAAAATATAAATAAATATTCATATAATTTTAATTTTAGAAGAAAAGTAAAAGAAACTACTCTCACTACCTCTACCCAAAGTAATACATATGCACAATAAAACCCAAAATTTCAATAAAAAAGAAAGAAACCATTTTATAGAAACAGTTGTATCCATTTAAGTATCTGCTGCTGGATCATTCCTCTTCTTATAACTCAATTTCTATATTTGTAAAGTATGTTTCAAGATGATAATCAAGTAAACAGGCAAAGACAAGTTCTAGAAAAACATTTAAAGAAAACTAAAGAACTGTTGGATGAACAAATATGGTAAAATAAAAACATTTTTTATAAACAAAGTTGAGCTAATCCTAAAAAATAAGTGAAATCATGGAAATCAGGAAAATAAATTTTCAAAATGAATGTAGATTAAAAACTGAAGATCAAAAAAAAACACAAAGTCAAATCGGGGCTTAATTCTTTTTGGGAGCCAGGAGTTGGTAGAAGAGAGAATAAGATTTTGGATTTATACATCTTGACTCTGTCTGTTAAGGTATTTAACATTTCAGAACCTCACTTTCTTCAGTTAAAATGAAACAACATCTACACCTCAAAGGGAGAGTCTTATGTTGAAAGGATTCTAGAAGAGAAATTGCAAATCTCCCAATCAGCTGTTTGGAATCTTATGCTCAATAATAGATAGTTATAGTCATTCAACAATATGAAATCTGGTTACTGTCATTTACATTAAAGGGCATTTCCAGAAAAGACCATGAAAATAAAAATTAATTAAGAAAATGATCGATATGCCCAGCTGGTGTGGCTCATGGTTGAGTGTCAATCTATGAACCAGGAGGTCATGGTTCGATTATGGTCAGGGCACATGCCAGGGTTGCAGGCTCGATCCCCACTAGGAGGTGTGCAGGAGGCAGCTGATCAATGATTCTCAACATTGATGTTTCTATTTCTCTCTTCTCTCCCTTCCTATCTGAAATCAATAAAAATATATTTTAAAAAAAGAAAGGAACTGATAAAAGAATCCATGATACCCCAGTATAATGTGATAACTAATTTTTCAGAATCCTTAACAATATAGAATGAATGAAAAGCATCTAATATATATAGACTACTTTTGATTACTATTAAAAAAAAAAAAAGAATTTGCCCTGGCCTGTGTTTCTCATTGGTTAGAGCGTCAGCCTGTGTACTGAAGGGTCACAGGTCTGATTCCTGGTCAGGGCACATACCTGGGTTGCAGGTTTTATCCACAGCATGGGCCAGGGAGAGTGAGGGAGGCAACCAATCGCTTTATCTCAAGACACATTGATGTTTTTCTCTCTCTCCCTTTCTCCCCCTCCCCCTTCTACTCTCTCTAAGTCAATGGAAAAAATATCCTTGGGTGAGGATTAACAAAAAAAAAGGGGGGTGGGGGTGGGTGGGGATTTAATGGTATCAATAACCTATAAGAATGGGTCATGTAAAAATCATATTTTAATTAGTTTTGAGAAAGTGTTTGTCTCTGTCTCTCCATCCAAGTAGGTATGTGTTTATATGGTAGGAAATTTATTTTCTTTCTTTTTGTTTTTTCCTCCCATAATTTTTTTGGTAATCTTTATTGTTCAGATTATTTCAGATGTTCTCTTTTTTCCCCCATAGTTCCCCTCCATCTAGTTTCCACCCCACCCAGGTCCTTGTCACCCACTGTCCACGTGCACAGGTACTGCATACATGCATATAAGGTCTTTGTCCAAGGAGAGAAACCAAGATGGCGGCATAGGTAAACACCTGAAATTGCTGCCTCGCACAACCACTTCAAAAATACAACTAAAAGACAAAACAGACATCATCCAGAACCACAGAAGGCTGGCTGAGTGGAAATTCTACAACTAGAAGGAAAGAGAAAAGCACACTGAGACTCAGAGGAGGTGCGGAAGTAAAGTGCAGAGGTACGGAGGCTTGAGCGTGTGCGGAAAGGTGCTGGCAATGGAGGACGCCGGTGTCTTTTGCAATCGGGAGGGAGGCACAAGCTCCCGACGGCCCTGACTCCAGTTCCGGGCGAGTCTCTGGGGACCCAGACTCATACGGGGAGAAACTGGACTGTCTGGCAGCGGGCGGAACTCGAGGGCGGCTTTCTCTCAGAGGTGTTTGCAGCGATTACTGGGACACTGAGACCCGGGGCCTCTTAGGGCAGGACTGAGGATCAGCCATAGCTGTTTGCTCCGCCCTGTTGATTCCCTGAGACCCCCGCCCCACCCAAGCTGTGCGCAGAGGCTTTTGCATATGAATGGGCTGGCCCTTTGAGATCTAAAATTACCTAACAAACTGCAGCTGGGTCAGAGAGAACCAGAACATCCAAAAGAAGGCCCAAGGCCCCACAGCAGCTTGCATTGCTTCACAGCTGGGCCTCATCTGGGCACCTCCAAAACCCAAACAAGGAAGAGGAACCTACAGATCTCTTCATAGCTGCTGCTGTGTAGCCTCAGGCAGAGGCTAAATTAGCACCTCCTTAGAGATCCAAGAGCCTGTGTACCCAGTGGTCAGATTGAGACCATCCAGATTACAACTCCTCAGATCCATAAGGGACACACTCAGGGGGCAGACTCAGTGAGCACCAAAGCCCCACTGAAGCAAGGCTCGCCCCATAAGGGTGTCTTCAGCACAGAAGTTCTCCCACTGTAGACACAGCTGATTCTCACAGCCAATTGGCCTGGAGGTCAATTCCTCCCAGTGATAACTACAACAATCAAGGCTTAACTACAACAAGACTACAACAAGACTGTGCACACAGCCCACAAAGGGGTGCACCAAGAGTGTCCACCCCAGGTAATTGGGGAGGCTGAGCCACTGGACCCTATAGGACACCTAGCACAGAAAGCCACTCTATCAACACAGGGAAGCATAAAAAATGCAGAGACAAAGAAACAGGTCACAAATGACAGAAATGGAGGAAAGCAAACTATTGGATGTAGAGTTCAAAACCACGGTTATAAGGTTTTTCAAGAATTTTCTAGAAACTGCCAATAAATTTAGTGAGACCCTTGAGGATATGAAAAAGGACCAACTAGAAATTAAGCATACACTGACTGAAATAAAGAATAATATACAGAGATCCAACAGCAAACAAGAGGATCCCAAGAATCAAGTCAAAGATTTGAAATACGAGGAAGTAAAAAACAACCAACCGGAAAAGCAAAAAGAAAAAAAGAATCCAAAAATATCAAGATAGTGTAAGGAGCCTCTGGGACAACTTCAAGCGTCCCAACATCCGAATTATAGGAGTGCCAGAAGAAGAGAGAGAGCAAGATATTGAAAACCTATTTGAAGAAATAATGACAGAAAACTTCCCCTACCTGGTGAAAGAAATAGACATACAAGTCCCAGGAAGCGCAGAGAACCCCAAACAAAAGGAATCCAAAGAGGACCACACCAAGACACATCATAATTATAATGCCAAGGGCAAAAGACAAAGAGAAAAATCTTTAAAGCAGCAAGAGAAAGACAGCTCAGTTTACCTACTAGGGGAGGACCCATAACAACTGTCAGCTGGATTTTCTCACAAGAAACTATGCCAGGCCCAGAAGGGGATGGGCAAGAGAATATTCAATGTGTGGAATACCAAGAAACGTACCACGCAGACTACTTTTTCCCCAG